GCTGTTGGACTGGATTCCATTTTTGATGTTGAAATGATCGTACTGGATAGAACGGAACTGGCGGATAGATAATATGTTTTATGTGATACATAATGGCACAACATGATAAGAAATTCTTCTTCTTCTTTCGTTCGTTTGAAATAGATTATCAATACCTGCAATGTTGTCTCTAGTATGAACGTCACTGTCTTTTGTAATTTACTCAGCGACACATTTCCTTTAGCGTTTGTGAGTGGCATACGGATTTTTACAGTGCGCCTCTTGGCTGGTTGCCTCTGACTTCGGCACCTAATTTTAATTTATTCGGGTATGCTAAGTCGACGTACTGGCATATGGGACCGAACTGTCCACCCTGACATGTGTGTGGGCATGTACATAGGACTTTCGCATCATAGGCATCATTCTGACATCAACGTTTGTGATAATAAATGATGTGTGTTTACGCACGGGTGTGTATGTGCATGTGTGTGCGTGCGCGCGTCAATTACAGACACAGATATATCAATCATGAACCAGCTACAAGCAAAACAGATTCAATATATTCACGACTAACCTCTATTGTGCATAAACAAAAAGAATATGTATGGTGTGTACATAATTCTAGTATAAACGTGTGTGTATCCTCGACTTTGACACAGTTCGTGCACTGTTCTGAGATTCTCCGTGTGTGTTCTTTAGGCGAGCACTTGCAAACAGATGATTGTTTGGTAAAGCTTCTTCTTCTTCTTCAAGTTCACCGGCTGTAAACACTGGCGGAAAGTTCTGGTTGTTCATCCACTTCTGGACTGCAGTCCTGTTCCAGAACCTGAGTGTTGCATGTGCATCTGTTTTACAGATCTGATTTATTTATATGCAGACTGTTTCTTGCCTTTCAGGCAGATGCACTCCGACATCGAAGGAAGCTCCCAATTAGTCGACTCTTACGACATGCTTTTTGGTAGGCGGTGGGTTTATTCTTGTTTTCCCTATAATAGGACCCCGGAACCCACACGGGGAGTTCAGTGAAGCGACCCTTGAGCAAAAGGCCAAACGTGTTAATGCGGTGACTTGTGTGCGAATACCGCGGAAATTAGAGAGCACTTCCGTATTTAGCAAAGGCAACATATAAAGACATGAAACACCGAGCTAACATATGCTTATGAAATAAAAACAGGTGTACGGCAGGAATGTCTTTTGTCGCCTCTCCTATTTTTACTGGCTGTAGACTGGATTGTGAAGACAGTAACTGCTAACACCAAAAATGGAATTCAGTGGACCCCTACAAAACAGCTTGTCCCCATTCACGGAATCAATTTTTGCGAAATCACAGCAGCTAGGTCTGAAAATCCATAAAGGAAAATCAAAGATAATGAGAAAAAATTAGGAAAATAGTAATTTGGTTTCTTTTAATGACACCCCACTCGAAGACGTAGAGTGGTACACCTATTTGGGTACTAATGTAGATCAAGTTGGAGGAACTGATAGAGATATTAAAATCTGGTAATCTTACTTTCAGCTTCATAGCAAACGAGTCACCCCATCTTTGCTCTGTTCCTGTGCCAAAGAAAAATCACAGAATGTTTATCACAGTTCCTTGTGGAAAGATTGACAAACTGCTGACTCAGCATATGCACTAGCATACACACGCATTAAAATAAGAATAGAAAAGGCAAGAGGAGCTTTCATAGCACTTGGGAATGTGTGGAGGTCAAAAGAAATACTAAACTTGAAATTTTTTAATTCTAATGTCAAATCAGTACTTTTGTATGGAGCGGAAACATGGAGAACAACTAAGGCAATTACTAATAAACTACAGACATTCATTAACTGGTGCTTGTGCAGAATAGAGGGAATTAAATGATATGATAGAATCACTAATGTAGAGCTTTGGGAGAGAACTAAGCAAGCTCCAGTGGACCAAGAGGTGAGGAAAAGACGCTGGCGTTGGATAGGACACACATTGAGAAAACTGCATAACTAGAATGCCTTTGCATTGGAACCCACAGGGGCATAGAAATAAAGAAAGGCAAAAAAGTAAAACACGGAGAAGAGAAATGGAGAATGAAGTTAGAAAGATGGGGGGGGGGGTGTGGCATGGGGAAAGCTCCATGTAATAGCGAAGGATATCAAGAAAAGATATAAAACCGAATGAAAAGTGTAAGGATAAAACGAAATGGCGTGAGTTGGTTGAGTGCCTATTCTACATGGGGGAATAGAAAAACAGAAGAAGAAGACTTCCGTCAATATTTATGTGTTCCTAAACATAAGAGCTTCCCATGTTTTGCTGAAGACTGAAGACAGACAAGCCGGCGTTCTGATTTGAGACCCAGCTGGGAATCCTTGATTACTGGGGAATTCAACACTTATTTATAGGTGTAAGTCTGCTTCGTTAGTGAAATAACATCTTGATCTATTAATAATGAACGAATGGCACCGAGATCAGAACCCATGGTGCCTTGTTTCTCCTAGCACCGTCAGCAAGTTCTGATTCTTTCTTCTGAGTTAGTAATCGGTAATCCCAACACAATTTTGAAGGAAATGTAAGGATCTTGTATGAGATGATAATTCATATCTGTTGTATAAGTTGAGCTTTCTTAACAGCTGTTCGTGATGCCGTCGTTCCATCATGAATCTTTCCCTTGCTATGTGCTTAGTGGATTCTCCCATAACAAACACTACTCAGCATTGCACAGTGAACACCCACACACTTTATATATATATATACACACACACACATAATTATAAATATAGTATACACTCTTCCAAATACCGGTCCCAAATTATTCCCAGCGAAAAACATCCCTGTGAGGTTATGTAGTAAAATCATTAAGGTCATCATGAGTTTCCACTTCTGCCGTTATTGCGCGATGGACGGCAATGTTTAGACGGTAAGCAAAGCACCATAGGGAGGAATAGATTTTGATTCATTGTAAAAGCTACGTGGGGAGGAGTAGTTTTCTATCCATTTAAGCTACGTGGGGAAGAATCGTTTTTAGATCCATTGTTTACATTAGTCGTGACTCGCCTTGTGGGTTCCAGGGCCAAATGTTTGAGGGGAAAAAAAGAATAGACCCAACTGCCACATAAAAAGCATGTTGTAAAAGGTGACTGATTAGGACTTTGTTGAAATGGGATGTGTTGGGGCGAAAGGCCCTAGCCTTTGTTGCCTAGCTATAAACCACAGCATAACATGCCAACCACCCTTTTAAGGACACATAAAATTATCACACGGTGGTGAATCGAACACCGGTTACCCTCGTGACAGGCGGAATACTTATAGCTGTACTACCGAAGACGCAAGAGCTTAGTTCAAATGAAATTATATAATAAAGAAAAGCATAGTTCGCAGTGTTCCTATTCACGATTGTAAAATATATGACCTCTTGAGACCCTCAATGGGATTGTGTTAAAACTGAATAATTTGGGACCGGTATTTGGAAGAGTGCCCAAAATTGTGTCCACATCACACAGCTAAGAATATGAGAATTGGGAGTAAAGATCGACACAGCCAAGTATGAGAGGCACACCCAACATATAGGAAGTCCTGTTAACCAGTACAGGGCTGGCACAAATGATTAATCACAAGTCGCTGATGTATTTGCTGAAAGGGGGATCTGAGCACCTATAGACATGTCAGAGTATTGTGAAGATAGCCCAGCTTATTTATCATAATATGACATCTCATACCACAGCTTGCTATCTGAGGATTTTAACTGGCAGCAGTGACTGTCGCTTTCTACCGACTGCACACGCATACTGCGATAATAACATCTCGCAAAGTATACTGCCTGGGGAAGATGAGAGTGGTGAGCCTCATGTGGTTATGCCAGTGCATTGGGGAATGAACAGATAGATGGGCTGGTTCTGTACCACTAAGTGACGAATTTAGGCTTGACAGTGTAGACAAGGAAAGGCCATTAAAAGGCACAGAACAATGGGAGCATGCAGACAGATCACATCAGTCTAGCCATAATGAGGCAAATGGGAGTGACCAGGGGATATGTAAACTGTAAAACAGATATGACTTGTGTGGTTCGGCAGAGATTCAGAAGTTGTTTTTAGATTATGTAAATTATGACATTAGAATTGTGAAGTTATTATGTGCTCAGATTGTGCAATTTATGACAGGAGAGGAATTAGTTACGGAAGTACTTATGTGAACAAATGAGAGTATTCGTTATAAAGTGTAACTGCTTGTCCGTTTCTTCTTGTTTGCGTTCACCAGTGGTAAACTCCGGCAGAAAGTTGAAAAATGTGTGTCCCCGTCACCAGTTGTAAACTCTGGCAGAAAGTTCTAAGTCTTTATTCCCTTCACCAGTTGTAAACTCTGGCAGAAAGTTCTAAGTCTTTGTCCCCTTCACCAGTTGTAAACTCTGGCAGAAAGTTCTAAGTCTTTATTCCCTTCACCAGTTGTAAACTCCGGCAGAAAGTTCAAATTCTTTGTCTCGTCACCAGTTGTAAACTCTGGCAGAAAGTTCTAAGTCTTTATTCCCTTCACCAGTTGTAAACTCCGGCAGAAAGTTCAAATTCTTTGTCTCGTCACCAGTTGTAAACTCTGGCAGAAAGTTCTAAGTCTTTGTCCCCTTTACTTGTTGTAAACTCTAGCAGAAAGTTCTAAGTCTTTGTTCCCTTCACCTGTTGTGAACTGCGGCAGAAAATTCAAATTGTTTGTCCCTATCACAAGTTGTGGACTTTTCGTCTTCTACCAGGACTTGAGTGTTGCATGCACATTCATTTTTCAGATCTAGCTTATTTGTACTGAGACTATTAGTCACCTCTCTGTCAGATGCACTTCAACTTCAGAGGAATTACCCCTAACTGGTTAACTATTACGACATGCTATTAGGGAGGCAGTGGGTGTATTTTTTTTCTTCTCTTCTTTGCGTTCGGTTTTGTATGCTCAGATCAGATAATCAGGTGGGTTGCCTCTTTTAACCACAACAGTTTTGCCTGGGAACCCAGACAGAAATCCTGTTAGTTTTATTATCTTGATTTGTCTGTTTCTTGATGACAGAGATACAATGGAGCTGCCATGTGATGGTTTTGTGTTGTTGGTTGGGGATGGAGATTTCTCATTTACCCGCTCTCTGGTGAGCAAAGACTCACTCAAGGCGTCTGCTGTCACGACATCTAACCTGGAAACAATAGAGTCCATACAGCAACACAAACAGGCTGCTGAAAACATGAACATCTTGACAGAAATGGGTAAGTATACCTAGACTCTCGTCGTCTTAACTCTTTGAGTCCCAAGGAACGCATCATACGCTCATAGATTCCTACCTAGAGGCCCAATGAACGCATGATGTGCCGATTTTATGCCTCTCTTGACTACCCCTTGGGCCTGTGATGCTAAACCCCCTGGGACTCAAAGAGTTAAAAATATAAAGGAACCCTCTGTCACAAAATGTATTCCAGGAGGTAACCTTCCTGCAGTCCACATCTCCCTGTGTGCTAAGCAACTTTGTCTTCATTGAAGTAAGAACAGGCCAGATTGCTTCTTTGTTAGCTGCATGTGATGGATAAACAGTGTTGATTTAAAGTACCTACTCAGCATTTTCTGGTGCCAGTTTTCAGGGACACATCATCCTACACCAAAAAACTTGGAAATATGTTGGGAAAGTTTGTTGTGCCTGTCATGAAGCGAGTCTTGGGGAGAAAACTTGGTGTGTGTTTCCAGCCACCTGTTTTGGATATTAGTTTTCATTTCGGACTCAGTTAGTTGCACTACACATGTGTCATTTACCCTTTTCTTGTTAGATCAAATAACAATTTACGGAGGATGTGGTCTGTATTATATTGGCAGCCTTTACTTCCCCAAGATTTAGCTTGAGCCGACCAGGAAGGCTGGGGCATAAAAATAAATCCACGCTTGAAAGGGGATTTTCTCAGTGTGGGGGTCGAGAGCCCCATTGAGTGAGAGGCAGAGATGGAATAGTATTCTATCAATTAAATGGACCTCGCTTGGTGCAGCAAAGCTTGCATATGATATCACAATGTCTAGTTTGAGAATGTAGGTGGAGGTAGTCACTGTTGCCTTCCGCTGGCTTGAGAATAATCTGTACATGCATGTCATAATTGTAACTGAATCACAGAGGATGTTGAGAAACACTGTGGACAAGCATGTTCGATGTAGAGTGGTAAGCATCAATTCAGAGGTCCCGGGTAGTTAGCGTCCTTTGGATATTTTCTCAGGGAATGCCGGTGTGTTGGGAAATAAGCAGGCAGATAGACTAGCCGTTTCTGTATTGCTTGGTGGTGAATTGATGTATGACAAGCTAGATGTTATGAGGGCCCTTTGGGAGCGAATGAACAGTAGAGAGGCACATATAGATCATTATATACCATCAGTTACTGGTGCCATTGGAATTGAAACTCTTTGCTTGCTGCTAAAGATGGGGATGAAGTGCTTATGGGGGTGTCCCGAGCGCAGTGATGTTGATTCTTAATTCAACATTCAACATATGCATCCATTTTACAGATCTTGCTTATTTTTATGCAAACTGTTGGTTCCTCTTCTTTAAGGCAGATGCACTTCAACTTCGAAGAAAAACCCGTAATCAGTCGCTTGTTAGTAGAGCATTGGGTCTGTTCTTGTTAAGCCAAAAGGTGGCCCTGAAACCTCACATGGGGAAAGAGTAAGTGCAGAAGAAGAAAGGGGATTTAAACACTAGACCACAGAGCTAGTAGGTAAAAGTGTAGTCACTAAACTACTCTGGTTTCCTCTCATTGTCTTAGATGAGTTTGTTTACAGAACTGAGTATGTTGTTAACTTATTCCTGATGGCTGGTAACTTATAACTACACAGATTCCTCTTCTATGTCTCAATTTTGTTGCAGGACATATTTCATTGATCCAACATTTATTTTAGCAGTAGGGTAACTACCAGTGGGTCTCCAAGCTAGAAAAACAGGACAGGGAAAAATAGGATTGAGAACATGGATTTCTTCTTCTTCTTCTTCACTTCTTCTTTTACCGCTGTGGGTGTCGAGCAAGCCGGCAATGGATTTATTACCGCTACAGAAATCAAAATGAGATATAAACGGACTGATCAAACAGTATCTGACCATGGCAATGTTAAGGGACTACGAGACAAAACAGCGAACATGGACTAACTAGGGGAAACAAAACAAAGAATAATAGACTAACTGACTGACTTTCTACCCCACCAGGACATCACACAAGCGATAAACACCCGTTGACACAGAGTGCCACCACATGGATGAGGATCGCCGTGGAGAAGTCCCAGAAACCGCGTTCAGACAATTATCCATTTTAACGCCTGCCTATATTGCGGCCCCTGGCAAAAGCCAGGGTGGGGCTTCAAATAACAACAAATTTCATCCTAAAGAGGATGTAAGAATGTAGACTAACTAGGGGAAACAAGACAAAGAATAATAGACTAACTAGGGTAAACAAGACAAAGGATAATGGACTAACTAGGGGAAACAGGACAAAGGATAATGGACTAAATAGGGTAAACAAAACAAAGGATAATGGACTAACTAGAAGAAAACAAGACAAAGGATAATGGACTAACTAAGGGAATCAAAACATAGGTTAATGGACTTACTAGGGGAAACAAGACAAAGGATAATGGACTAACTAGGGGAAACAAGTCAAAGCATAATGGACTAACTAGGGTCAACAAGACAAAGGATAATGGACTAACTAGGGGAAACAGGACAAAGGATAATGGACTAAATAGGGTAAACAAAACAAAGGATAATGGACTAACTAGAAGAAAACAAGACAAAGGATAATGGACTAACTAAGGGAATCAAAACATAGGTTAATGGACTTACTAGGGGAAACAAGACAAAGGATAATGGACTAACTAGGGGAAACAAGTCAAAGCATAATGGACTAACTAGGGTCAACAAGACAAAGGATAATGGACTAACTAGGGGAAACAGGACAAAGGATAATGGACTAAATAGGGTAAACAAGTCAAAGCATAATGGACTAACTAGTGGAAACAAGAAACAAGTCAAAGGATAATGGACTAACTAGGGGAAACAAGACAAAGGATAATGGACTAACTAGGGGAAACAAGACAGAGGATAATGGACTAACTAGGGTAAACAAGACAAAAAATAATGGGAGACCAGAGCAAGCAGAACAGGGTGACAGTGGAAAGCAGAACTGATAACAGTGAAGGACTCAAAGAAACAAGACAGAAGACTAAGTGAAGCAGAACAGTGGATGACTGAGCAGGACAGAGGACATTGAAAGACTAAGTGAAGCAGAACAGGGGACAGTGGATGACTTGGCTAAGCAGGACAGAGGACATTGAAAGACTAGGTAAAGCAGAACAGGGGACAGTGGATGACTAGACTAAACAGGACAGAGGACATTGAAAGACTAGGTGAAGCAGGACAGGGGACAGTGGGTGACTAGACTAAGCAGGACAGAGGACATTGAAAGACTAGGTGAAGCAGGACAGGGGACAGTGGATGACTAGACTAAGCAGGACAGAGGACATTGAAAGACTAGGTGAAGCAGGACAGGGGACAGTGGATGACTAGACTAAGCAGGACAGAGGACATTGAAAGACTAGGTGAAGCAGGACAGGGGACAGTGGATGACTGGGCAAAGCAGGACAGAGGACATTGGAAGACTAAGAAGATTGGAAAGAAAGAACATTTGAAGACTAGGGGAAACAGGACAGTGGATGACAGTTGGAAGTAGGACAGTGGGAAGCAGGACTGGGGACAGCAAAGGGGGAGCAGTACTGTAGACATTAGAAGATGGAAGGCAGAGAATATTGGAAGGTTAGAATTAAACTCAAAAAATATATTAAAATGATGTACCAGCCAATGTCATCAAATACCTCAGCCTCTGGGTTGGTTCTGAAGCTTGCTGTTCTTCCACTCCCGTAGTTGTCCTTCTTGAACTGCTGTCTTTAATTCTGTTTGTCTGCATTGATAAATTTGTGCATGTCTCTTTCATAAATAATTTCTCATGTCCTTGGTCTGCCCTTTCCTCTTCTTCTGAGTAGTGTGCCCTCTTGTACCGTCTTTGGTGTCATGTGTTGTTTTAGTATGTGAACAAACTATGCAAGTTTTCACTGTTTTGATGTCTCTTTCTTCTGTTGTGGTACATTTTTCTTCTGACTTTTATCCCCAAATGGAGCATAGGTCCTCAACCAACTCATGCCATCCTATCCTTCACTGTTGCATACAGCTTTTCCCTAGTTCCTCCCCATCTTTTTTAACTTATATTTCTAGCTCCCTTCTCCGTGTTTTTTGGCATCTTCCTTTATTTCTATGCCCCTGTGGGTTCCATTTCAATGACATTCTAATTAAACTGTTCTCAGATTTTCTCAGAGTGTGTCTCCTATCCAGTATTTTTGTTCTCTTCATCTCTTGGTCGACTAGAACTAGTTTAGTTCTTTCCCAAAGCTCCGACATGAGTGATTCTATCATGATAAAATGTGAAGATCTTGTTCTGCATCTTCCAGGTGTTCAAGTGTTTCTAGAGACTGATGCCCGCGAGCTGCACACACACCCAGCCATCAGCCGAGCCAGCTACCAGCGCATCATCTTCAATTTCCCATTGGCAGACAGACATAACATTAAACTCAATAGAGCTTTGCTTGCTGATTTTTTCTCCAGGTGAGAACATTGTAGTTAAGATCATTTTCTATCTTATAGTTTCATTTTACATGCTGTCATCATCATCATCATTTGCTGTGTCATATCATCTCACATGATCACCAGTGTCCTGGATCAAGTCTGTGTTCTTGTCTCTAATAATCATTTGGCAAAACCATCCAGATATTTTCATTTTATCTTCTCTAAAAGAGCTGGTGGAAAATTGTGCTATGGTTTACAGCAAGGCTATGGTATCTACACCTTTAGACCGACACATCAGATTTCAGTGGTTCCCTAATTGTTCACGTTTTACAACATACAGTCGAGTCTGGATAAGTAGAAGTCACAGGGACCTAAGAAAATGCTTCCACTTATCCAGACAGCACACACAATAGAGAAAATTGCCGGGACTAAGCTGGTCATGTCGACTTAACCGAAATATGACTTATCCGAGTTCGACTTAAGTGGACTCAACTGTACGTGTAGGGGGGTGGGGCAGTGGGTTTAAATAACACCACTCACCAAAGGGCCCCAGAACCCACACAAATGAATCTCCCATCTGTTTGCTGGTTGTCACTTGTTTTCAATTTTATTTTCAAAATAATATGCGACCTGACTGTGTTTGATTTCTTTAATCTGCCATTTCAGCTGCTCACAGATTTTATCTGACACTGGCCAGGTAATGGTCACCTTGTGTAAAGGTCAAGGTGGCACACCAGCAGACCAGCCAATGAGATCATGGCATGACAGCTGGCAAGTTCAAGCCATGGCCACGAATGCTGGATTTATTCTGACCCAAGTACTGCCATTTGATGTTTCAGTGTATCCACTGTACCACAGTGTGGGCTTCAGGTGTGTGCCTATTTTTGTATTGTCGTTCAGTCAAGCGCTTATCATAATTGGTGTATGTCACCTACATGGTTGAAGTGAAGTACTCAGAAAGAACGCTGAGTTAAGGTGAGGGCAGGTGTACTCATGCAGAGACATGTTTCGCTGCGGAGATCACGGGTGAGGAGCATTGTCTGGATTTCTTCTCCAAGTTATGCTAGTGTGCTGGGAAATAAACAGGCAGACAGATTGGCTGGCTATGTACAACTTGGTGGAATACAGATGCCTGATAAAGCAGATATGGTTAAGGCCTTGTGGGAGAGCGTGTACAGTTCGGAGGAACAAATGAATCATCACAATCTGGTGAGAGCGATGCAGCGGGGAGTTACGAGGGGATCTGGCCGATACTCAGTGTTGGAAGGAAAGGCAAGATGGACGCATAATCAGAATGCTACTGCAGCTATTGGTATTGGAAGATGGGGTTTGAGCATTTATGGGAATGCCCCCAGTGCTGTGATGTCAGTTCATGAATCAACTCAACTCTAGAAAGTAGAGTAACGGACACATTTCCACACCTTTAGGTGTATCGATCCGGAGGGTTCAGGCAGGTTCAGTGCGAAGACAATGGCTTGAATCATTACAGAAGTCCACTGTGCGTGGAGTCACCTTTATTTTTGTTCCGGGACACGCAGGCGTCGATGGAAATGAAAGAGCTGACAGGTTGGCTGGATCCGCTATCACTACCGACGGTCAGCCTATGGATCATGCTGATATTATCAATGCCCTCAGAGAAATGGGAAGGATAGAGGACTTTGATGGCAGTGAATCCACATCACTCGCCAGAATGGCAGACTTGGGAATTAAGATCGGCACAGCAAAAAACGAGACGCACACCAGACACGCCAGAAGACTTGTTAATCAACATAGAACTGGTACTATTAGCCATCGGACGTTGGGGTTCATACTGAGGGGAGGATCTGAGCACCTATGGACATGTCCGGAGTGCAATGAGGATAACCCAAATAACTAACTAACTAACTAACTAACTAGGTGTATCGAGCACTTAGGACTTGACCTGTATTTTTTAAAGACCAGTTGGCACTCAATGGTTGTTGTGGTCAGCATCACAACAGCTACCTTTACTTCCCAGGACTTTACCTGGTGCTCATTTAAATCAGGGTTAGATTGACTGGAAGCCAGAGTCTTTGTGTTTTGTTTTGTTTTAAATACTTTAGGTTTGAACCCATGACCTCCAAATCTGCTGTTATCTAGCTGCAACACATAGTCAACAGGACAGAATTCTTTCCCACTAGTATATGATGCCAGCTCCATATTTGTCTAGACTTGTCAGAGGCAGTGTGTAAGATGTAAATATCACCCTAGCTGCCGTTTGTCCCAAACCACACTGCATTTACTTTTAATCAGACTTGTACTTAATCTGTTATGTATTCTTCTTCTTAAAGTCCATGCCGTGTGGCGCTGGTAGTCATGCCTATCCATAACCTTCTGTCTCGTGTACTTTCAGTCAACTCTGACACAGATGATCTTCCATGCCATGATGTCAAACTGCGCAGCATCTTTTCTCACAGTCTCCTCTGCCTCTTCTCGCCTCCAACTTTCCAAATGTCTTCATGTACTCCAGTTTTCTCCTTCTCATCACATGACCAAAGAATGATGATTGTCTCTATCTGATGTGGGCATTCAGGTCTCTGTGGGTCAGTTTCCAGTCCGCAAATTCCAAATAAGTGTTACGTATTCGGTCAAGTTGAAATATTTCAGTGCTGTTTAACATTAAATTGCACAGTTTAGTGTTGATAGTCTGTAAATGAATAGCTATGCTTAATTTAACCTGAGGGAAACGAGGCCATAAAATAAATGACTGCACAGGTACATACTAAATACGCCCTGGCTATAGTAGTGTGAACCTCTTATTTCTGCCTTGTCCTTCTGTAGCAGAAACTGCTTTTGATACCCAGCTGACCTGCTCTGTAATCCTGTGCTGCTGTTAGCACCTGTACATGTTTGTATCTTGTTGCAGATTTCAAGACAAAAGTTTCAACACTGACGGTGCCCTGATCCATGTATTTGAGAAGGCCGATGTGGTGGCGGCAGGTGATAGTGTGTGTGCCCGTGGTGTTGTTAAGTGTGGGGGTGAAGACTACGCCAGTTCCCGCTATGTGGCTGACAAATTCAGCAGGTTAGTTAATGCTATTGTCTGTATTTTTGTGTCTTATACCAGTCTCTATCTCATTTTCATCTTACTGTCGCAGTCTTCCTCTTCTCTTTTAACTGTCACTTGTCCCAGTTGTGATTGCGACCAAAGAAAGTCACAGTCTTAGCAAAGACAATTATATGTTCTCCTCGTCCTACGTGAATATTGTGGCCCAGAAATCTCCCACTTACGGTCGAGTATGTTCTGTTGAACTGAGCTCCTGCTAGTTCTCTCCACTGAGTTAACCAGTATGAAGATGAAAACAGGCAAAACTGTATGGAAGACGCCGACCTCGCCACAATAGTAACCACAAGGCTGGACATGCTTGCGTCAGAAGGTTACTAATCAGGTTGAAAAGGATAGTTCTGTAGATTGTTCTGTGCTGTTTGAGGTAACAAGAGTGCACATTTTTTAGTGGACACTACAGTTGCTATGACTGATCTGTCACAAGACAGGAGAAACGTCAGTGCTATGCAGCATGCTTCTTCTTCTTCTCTTCCACCTTGTACCTCATCGAAGAGTCGGGAGAAGATGTAACATTCGTTGATAAGCTCTGTCAAGAGCACTGTTAAGACTGATGTTCATTTCTGAAAGGCTGTTCTCAATGCCATCACTCCATCTTTTCGAAGGAGTTCCACTCGCTCTATACCGGTTGTAACGTTTTAGTGTGGCTCTCTGTGGCAGATAGTACCAGGGCACTCTTGTTAGGTGTCCAAACCACTTCATTTGTTGTTCTTTGATGACCTATAAGACTGGCTTTATTCCTAGCATTCTTCTGATTTTGTATTTTGTCTTTCCTTGAAACTCCTGCAGCTCTTCTAAGGCATTTAATCTCTGTTGTCACAATTTAACGCTCATGGGAGGATGTGAGTGTCCATGTTTGGCACTGATAGCATAGTGTTGGCCAAAAAATAGTTCTGATAAGATTCACTTTAGTACTCGGGGTATCCGGAAGTCGCTGTAGCGGAGCAGCTAGACGCTCCCCGCGGGTCGGAATGTAGTGGGTTCGCTCCCTGGCAGAGCGGGACTTTTTTAAAAAATGATTTTGGGTCCCAGGTTGACCCAGCCTTGAGTGGGTACCGGGTGCAGTCCTGGGAAGTAAAGGCAGCCGGCGTGATGCTGACCACATCACCCATCTTGTGTCAATTGGTCTATAAAATATATGTCTAGCCCTATACGCCTAAATGCGTGGAAAAGGGTCCTTACCTTTACTTTTTTACTCTGGGTATCTGCTTGTGTGTATGCAATGTGCGTATTCTGAAAGTGATGACAGCAAGAAAGAATGACTCAGTGTACCTGTCCAGGCCGGTGGATGTGGTGGTTCACCCTGCACCTGCCAGACATGAACATTTGACACAGGACGTTTCATTAACCAAGACATTTGTCTTGTCCCTGTTTTCCTGCCTCATATCTTTGACTTGTCCCCATCGTTCTGTTTCATAATCTTGTCCTGGTCTTCATAGTCATAGATAATTAAGAGGCTTGTATGAGGTTTGTGCCATGTTCTAGAATAGCCATACTGTGTACATGGGGTTTGTGTCATATTCTAGAATAGACATACTGTGTACATGGGGTTTGTGTCATATTCTAGAATAGCCATACTGTGTACATGGGGTTTGTGTCATATTCTAGAATAGCCATACTGTGTACATGGGGTTTGTGTCATATTCTAGAATAGCCATACTGTGTACATGGGGTTTGTGTCATATTCTAGAATAGCCATACTGTGTACATGGGGTTTGTGTCATATTCTAGAATAGCCATACTGTGTACACAAGGTTTGTGCACATGTTCTAGAATATGCATACTGTGTACATGAGGTTTGTGCTATGTTCTAGAATAGTCATACTGTGTACACAAGGTTTGTGTCATATTCTAGAAAAGCCATACTGTGTACATGGGGTTTGTGCCATGTTCTAGAATAGTCATACTGTGTACACAAGGTTTGTGCCATGTTCTAGAATAGTCATACTGTGTACACGAGGTTTGTGCCATGTTCTAGAATAGTCATACTGTGTACATGAGGTTTGTGCCATGTTCTAGAATAGTCATACTGTGTACATGAGGTTTGTGCCATGTTCTAGAATAGTCATACTGTGTACATGAGGTTTGTGCCATGTTCTAGAATAGTCATACTGTGTACACGAGATTTGTGCCATGTTCTAGAATAGTCATACTGTGTACATGAGGTTTGTGCCATGTGTGCCAGAAATAGTCATACTGTGTACATGAGGTTTGTGCCATGTTCTAGAATAGTCATACTGTGTACACGAGGTTTGTGCCATGTTCTAGAATAGTCATACTGTGTACATGAGGTTTGTGCCATGTTCTAGAATAGTCATACTGTGTACATGAGGTTTGTGCCATGTTCTAGAATAGTCATACTGTGTACACGAGGTTTGTGCCATGTTCTAGAATAGTCATACTGTGTACACGAGGTTTGTGCCATGTTCTAGAATAGGCATACTGTGTACACGAGGTTTGTGTCATATTCTACATTGACCTAACTGTTAACATGATATTTGTATGGACTGATGACCAGTGTGTGAATCTCCTGCAGGGATTTGCTTGAAGAACCCAACCACCCCTTGAGCCTGTTGAGACAACATTTGGAGAAGTCGTTGAGTGGGCATCTGGGAGCAGAGATTGTTCCAGACAAAGATGGTTGGTGCGTCCTACCAGGTCACAAGTCTAGTGTTTCAACACATCCCACACACCTCGCAAGTAACATCCATCATTTGCAGGATTCTCAGAAAACTGTAAAGGACAGAAAGAATGAAGCCAACCTAACTATACTGCACAATGCTAAGACAGCCTTGATAACTCATGGTGTTGATAGACAAAATGGCCTGGAACCATCCGGCAACTGTTGCCAAGATCAAGACATCTGTAGGATGCTTCCTGATAACCCTGAATCTGTTTTTATCCTCATTAGGAAAAATCCTCTAACAGACACTGCAGACTGTAAGAAGAAAAACGGTCAGTCTATAGTTGAACTGGTAGCATCCCCTGTTGAAAGGGATTATACTGCAGATGGTTGCTGTGGATGTCCTAATCCAGATGCTGACACAACCAGCAGTCTGGAAGCTTACAGAATAGAGACTGAGGGTTGTGGGTCACAGGTCATGGAGACAACCTATTGTGTCCCTGCGGATGAGACAAGTACCCACTTGGCTTCACCCTGTACTGAAAGGGTGTATCATTGTCGGACATCCCTCTTAGAAAACTTTAAGGACCTCCATCCATGCGTGTCTCTAGAAAATGTGAATACAAATTCATCTTCAGGACTGGTAAATGCTGCTACAACTGATGACTATTTAATTGGACAATGTGAGCATGAGATTCGGAATTCCAGGATGTCAGAAACAATTTCTACAGATAGACAGTGTTTTGTGGTTTCTGGCAGATCTTTTCTACCTGGACCCATCACTGCTGACACATTGTCTGTCCGGCATGAGATGATGATAGTACAGAAGATACCACATGAGAGCACAGGTGTTCAATTTACAACAGGTGCTAACATGGCTTCTACAGGCATAAACATGGCCGCAGTTGACGAGGTTACTCAACAACAAAACCAACCTCAAGACGCAAACAGTTCAGATCAGTCCGACCACAGACAGAACAGGACTTCCACATTGAATCATGTGCTTTCCTGCCTGGTTCAGTGTCTACAAACTGCAGTCAAAGTTGAAGATGTGGGCAGAACTGCCAGCGTTTCACTGGTGGGTGTTGAGAAAGTGACAGGTGTGAAATTGGTATATCTAGAGCCTGCAACAAACACAAGACAAACGTCAGAGCAACCACCCTCACAGCATCGACCCTGTCAAGTTTTAGCTGGGGTTGTGTGCCAAGTTGTCAGCAGTGGTGAAGAGAAGCTGGTGGTGCTGCTGCATCTGGATAACATTGTATGCCAGATCTGCAGCATTGATGACCCAAGAATCCTGTGGTCACAGAGTAAAAGGTTCACAGATCAGTTCCAACCACCATCATCATCATTCCCACCGCAGTTTCAACAATTCAGCCTGTTCCCCATGAGGTTTACTCATGATCTCAGTTTTTGGCAGAATGATTCCGACTCAGAATTTGATGTCACGGAAATGTACAACATTATCTTGTACACGGCTGGTGATCTTGTGTATAGTGTCAGCCTCAGAGACATCTACACCGACCCGGACACCGGCCGGGTCAGCCGATGTTACAGGCTTCGGTTCACATCACATGACCAGGCTCTTCCGTACCTGACCTCATGGAAGCTGCAGAGTTTGATCCGGATGGAGGTTGCCCAAAAACTGGGCGTTACTCTGAGGTGACCCGTCACCAGTATACCTTATGGGAACTGGTGTCTGCAGTTACTTAGACATGAACCAAGCCGTTGGATGTTATTTTCATAGTTGAACAAAATAGCTGTGGCATTTTGGTGGTCAGTGTGAGAGACACTGCTATTGTTTTTGTTTTTTTTAGAAGCTGATGTGGTTTTTGAGTGGGTTTTAGTGAAACAGCTGTGACATTTTAAGTGAGAGACACAGCTGTGACATTTGGGTGTTCTTTAATGAGACACAGCTGTGACATTTGAGTATTCTTCAGTTAGAGACACCGATGTGACATTTGAGTATTCTTCAGTTAGAGACACAGCTGTGACATTTGAGTATTCTTCAGTGAGAGACACCGATGTGACATTTTAGTATTCTTTAGTGAGAGACACAGCTGTGACATTTTGGGTATTCTTCAGTGAGAGACACAGCTGTGACATTTTGGGTATTCTTCAGTGAGAGACACAGCTGTGACATTTGTGTATTTCTCAGTGAGAGACACAGCTGTGGCATATGTGCATTCCTTAGTGAGAGACACAGCTGTGACATTTGTGTATTTCTCAGTGAGACACAGCTGTGGCATATGTGCATTCCTTAGTGAGAGACACAGCTGTGACATTTGGGTGCTATTCTCACAGGGAAGCAGCTTTAGCATTTTGGGAGTTATTTTTGAGTGAAACAGCTATGGCGTTTGTTATTTTCAGTGCCAATTTGTTTGACAATTCACTTGATCAGCCCAGTAAATTTCTGTTGAGAGCTACAGCTGTGATAGTTAGGTGATATTTCTGTTAGTTGGTTGGTCTTTCCTCTTGAACCTAGGTCGGTGCATAGGGCATCCTCTTCATGGTTGGCAGTTCATTGCCACCTGCTTTAGGTCTTGGATGTTTGTTATGCCTATGGTTGAGCCTTCCCTGATAATGGTTTTACCTGTTTTATTTTTGCTTCCAGTGTCCACATGAGGGCTTGATGGGGGAGTCTTGTCTTATCCATTCTGAGTGCGTGGCCGATGTAGTTCTGGCGGCACTTTCTTATAAAATTGGATACATCGTCTTGCTTGGTCTCTCCATTGTCCAGTGGAGATTAAATATTTTTCTCAGACATTTGTTCTTAAAATTGTCTCTTCCGGAGTCTGGTCTGGGTCACGATGGTGGGATGTATTTCCCTCTAGCTTAGCTTGAGATTGTTGATCGATGACCCAACAATTCGCCATCATAAAACATCCTTTGTTTTAGAATCAGATTTCTAGCTCTAAATGCTGTGATGTTATGATATTCCTGTAGTGTGGCTAAATATGTGGGTGTTTATTTTAGCAAGCAACAAATGTTTTAAACCTCATTCTCTTAGTGAGAGAATCAGGCAGAGGTAACTATCACAGTAAGAGAAACAGCATCTCTTCCATTGAACAGCATCTCTGCTATTGCCTGCCCTAAACCCAGCCTGGGGAAGAGGGGACAGTTCCTCCACCGTGCACAAGTTTTTGGTTGTTTTTTAAAATCTAAAAACTTGATTTAAGAGGGGTGAAGAAATCAGAGAAATTTCTCGATGGCAACTTGTGTCCACAGTTATAAGAGATGGTGCTGTATTGGAGACATCCTGAGAAAAAACAGGCAGAGAATCACCTGCTAGTAAAGAGGCAGGGGATGTCCTGATAGAGTCCATACTCCTGGCGCCCCCCCCCCTGGCCCCCCCCCCCCCCCCCCCCGCTAACCAGTTGTTCTGCGTATACCCATCAGTCATTCAGCCAATAGGCACATAGTCTACCGTAAGCTTAGGGTTTTTATCGAGGTTGTCTTCTGTAGATACATTTTGTTTTGTGCCTCTTTGGTCACGCAAAACGGTCTTGACTGTAGGAGGGTTTCCTTGGTCAAGGACTTAAGTGTGTGCCCCCTTTCATCCCATAGGACCAAGCTCAAACTGTAGAAGGGTTTCCTTGGTCAAGGACTTAAGTGTGTGCCCCCTTTCATCCTATAGGACCAAGCTCAAACTGTAGAAGGGTTTCCTTGGTCAAGGACTTAAGTGTGTGCCCCTTTCATCCCATAGGACCAAGCTCAAACTGTAGAAGGGTTTCCTTGGTCAAGGACTTAAGTGTGTGCCCCTTTCATCCTATAGGACCAAGCTCAAACTGTAGAAGGGTTTCCTTGGTCAAGGACTTAAGTGTGTGCCCCCTTTCATCCCATAGGACCAAGCTCAAACTGTAGAAGGGTTTCCTTGGTCAAGGACTTAAGTGTGTGCCCCCTTTCATCCCATAGGACCAAGCTCAAACTGTAGAAGGGTTTCCTTGGTCAAGGACTTAAGTGTGTGCCCCCTTTCATCCCATAGGACCAAGCTCAAACTGTAGAAGGGTTTCCTTGGTCAAGGACTTAAGTGTGTGCCCCCTTTCATCCCATAGGACCAAGCTCAAACTGTAGAAGGGTTTCCTTGGTCAAGGACTTAAGTGTGTGCCCCCTTTCATCCCATAGGACCAAGCTCAAACTGTAGAAGGGTTTCCTTGGTCAAGGACTTAAGTGTGTGCCCCCTTTCATCCCATAGGACCAAGCTCAAACTGTAGAAGGGTTTCCTTGGTCAAGGACTTAAGTGTGTGCCCCCTTTCATCCTGTAGGACCAAGCTCAAGACAGAACAATCAGTGGTATTCTCCACTGCGAGAGGGATATACATTCAGACAGTCACTAGTGCTATCGCAACTGGAATTATTTGCTCGCTGTTGAAGATGGGGAAATGGTGCTTATGGGAGTGTCCAGGGTAGTGCTATGTAAATTCTAAAATCATCATTTACTACTGTTGATAATTTAGTTTTCTGCAGCAACCAAAAAAAAAAAAAAATTTTTGCTAAATTTCTGTTATTGTTCTCTAAGTGAAGCTTTCTATCCTTTGCTATCGCATGCAGCCCCCCCCCCCCCCTTTTTTTGGGAACTTGCTCTAGTTCTTTTCTTCATGTGTATATTATATCAATCTGCCTTTATTTCTGTATCACTGTGGGTTCCAATGCAAAGACATTCTAGTTAAATTGTTATGTATTCTCAGTGTGGGCCTTATCCAATTCCAGCATCTTTTCTCCACAGCTTTAATTTTGTTAGTTCTCTCCTAAAGCTTAACATTAGTGATTTTTATACCATTAAATTCTCTCTATATAGCGTGGACACCAGTTTATATTGTTTTAATTGCTGTCTATTAAACTGCTCAAAACAGGAGTACTAATTTGACATTAAAATACACACACACACACAAAAAGTTTGGAATTAGTTTTTTTCTTTGACTTTATTTCCTGGAGCTATGAAAGCTCCTCTTGCTGTTTTGTATTTCATTTTTAAAATCTCTATTAGTACCCCCATTTGTTATCTACATTATTGTCTAAAAAATGTAGAAAGGGATATCAGCAACTTAGTATACTGGTTGAGATCTCTCATCAAGTATATTTATCTTGCATCGGATTCCATGAGTGAATCTTTTTCCGTAAAAATGTTACATTCTGTGAAAGTAACCACACCCTCCCCCCCCCCCCCCCCCAGCAGCCATATTAGCTACGCAACTGCTTCCTGATCCGATGGTTTTAGGTTCATAACCATAGCCAGGCAAATTGTTATAACTGACCTAGGTAAGGGCGACCCAGGTTAAATGCAGTACAGGAATTGTCTTGGAAAGTGCAGGTGACCAGGATCTATGTTTGTTTAGTCTATCGCTGCTGGCATGAAACAAGTTGTTTCCTCACACATCAAGGTAACTCCTGAGACAGCGCCAGAATCAAACAGAGCAGTTTGGGAGTTGTTAGCATAAAAAAAACACTTGGAAACTAGAGATCAGAGCACTTTTGATCCTATCTGATGTGTGATGATCTTTTAATGACAAAGCAAGTTGAGAAAGGTGGAGTTGCACATTCTTCATGCAGTGGCAACCATTGCTTCAGAGGTCCCAGATAGTTAGCGCCATCTGGATATTTTCTCCAGGAAATGCTGGTGTGTTAGGAAATGAATAGGCAGATAGACTAGCTGGTTCTGCAACACTTGGTGAACTGATGCATGACAAGCTAGACTATGTAAGAGTCCTCTGGGACTGAGTAAAAAGTGCATGACAAGAAGCAACCATGGCACCTGGTCCACACATAACACTGAGGGGAAGGGTCAGACCAACAATCAGACTGTTACTAGTGCCATCGGAATTGGAAACTGTGCTGGCTGCTGAAGATGTGATCAAAGTGCTTATGGGAATCTGTTGATCATAAACTTGAGGCCATATGCTCTGGCAGCAAAAGTAAAGGTGTGCCTACTGCAACAGAGTAAGCATTCACACAGTGAAAGTCACGACAAGAAAACCACACTGGCAGCTGAACACAACACTTTAATGATGGCGCATTTGAAACAAAATGAGAAATTTTCTATAAGCAAATCAAACTACAGCAGCACACAGTGGATCTTGGCGTATATACAAGCTTCCAGTGCCCTGACATGACATATTCCATGACACATCACATCAGTCTGATCAAGCTTCCAGTGCCCTGACATGACATATTCCATGACACATCAGTCTGATCAAGCTTCCAGTGCCCTGACAGGACATATTCCATGACACATCAGTCTGATCAAGCTTTCAGTGCCCTGGCATGACATACTCCATGACACATCAGTCTGATCAAGCTTCCAGTGCCCTGACATGACATATTCTATGACACATCAGTCTGATCAAGCTTCCAGTGCCCTGACATGACAAATTCCATGACACATCAGTCTGATCAAGCTTTCAGTGCCCTGGGATATTCCAAGACACATCAGTCTGACCAAACCATTGCATCTACCTTAGACCACACCTGTCCTTTCCACTTGTTCAACTTTAGTGAATTGATCATACCATTGAATTCCCTTTATTCTGTACGGTCACAAATTATTGAATGCTTGCAGTGTATCTGTAATTGTGTTGTACTACATACAGCAGTACTGATGTGAGCTTGTTCAATTCGTAGAATTCCTAAAACTATGACAACTCTGATATTTCAATATCTGTCAGCCCCCCCCCCCCCCCCCCCCCCCCCCCCCCCCAACTTTACATGCATCGACTGAGTGAGAGTCCATGACTCAGATTCCATAGGCTGCACAGAAAAGATGCATGATCTCAAAATGTTGAACTTACTTGCAGGACAAAGTGTTCAGCAATGGCCATATACAGGCTGGCTCATAACTGGCAGTGCTAGATTGTGACGGCCCTGGTTGTCCTGAAAAGGAGCATTGTTTGAGACGTTGTGACCTGGTATTTGTTTCGCCTCTCCCGGCGGCGTTACAGAACGGCAACCAAGCAGCAATAGGGCACCAGCGCAGCTATCAGCACGAGGTAAACCAAGCATCAGCAACAATCAGCTAAAACCCACAGAAAACAGCACTGGACCATACCAGACCCAAAAACACCACATCGGACTCAGGAAGCAAAGAACTGAAATATCAGGTGTGACTGCACACCACAAATAAAAGGAAACCAAATAAGATAGCCAAGGAACCTTCCTTCATATAGCAGGCCTCCGGGCAGATGAAAAATGATCGTTTGGAACTTTTGTTGGACAACTGGAATTGGAACTATCAGTGTTTTCTGAAGTAGAATGTGTCCAATAATATGTCACGGCTTATAACAGCAAGCATAGGCCCCAACTGTCTTCAAACTGATCAAGGATGACTGACAACACAGAACACTGTCAAATGTTACCCAACATCAACATCCTACAAGTCTACAACTGAATGTATCGGCAATCAACATGAGAAACAGCACAAGTAATTACATACATGTATTTATAAATTCAATACTTCAACACATACACATATTTATAAATTCAATACTTCAACAATGTTGAAGATCAAAACAAAAATTTTACAAAGAGAATTATGTAAGCCTGGCCACTCGAACACTCACACAACTCAATGAAGTCAGAATATCTGTCAAGTTACTCTGTGATGCTAACTCACAACCACAGCATCAAAACATTTTCAGTCACTCAATTGTTTTTAAAGAAAAGAAGCACAAAATAACAGAGCCGAATCTTAATTTGTAAAGTTCTTTCACTGCACTCTCAAAATAGAACAAACAGCGAATGTATCATGTAAGTTTTCTAGGGGATTCTCTGATGACTTGTTCCGAAAAGTAAATCCATTTTTGCAGAAAATGTACTTAGAAATTAATTGGCTGCTGTAAAATTATCTCATTCTGTGTCAAAAATGCAACAACTTAAATTAATTATGTAATTTTTCTTTTCTTAAGAAATGATTCCTGTATTTAATTCAATGCCTTGAGGAGACTAACTGAAGCAAAGATACTGGCTCAAATAGAACAGCCAAAAATGAAAGTTTTATGACTGTAGAAATATGATAGATATGACCATTGTAAGGTTGCCAGCTATTAATTGACCAGGTAAACAGAGACCAGCTAGCCTGTGATAATCATTATCGTATCTGACATTAGTGAAATTTGTAGGAACAAATTAATGACCTCCGAGAGGGCAAAAGGTTACCAACTTCAGCAAACCGCTTGCAAATCTAAAGCTTTTCCCATGTACAGGAAGAAATATGAAATGTTGTGAGTCTAAAAATTCATTATAAAACAAAGTTAAGAATTTGATGAGCAAGTCAAGACCCCGTGAAGCTTCAGCAGGGAAACAACAAATACAAAAGTACCAACAACGAAGGGACACAACCGGCAAGTTGTGCGACACTGAGAGCCACCTGGTGGAGCTGGGGTGTCTACCTCATCTTGTAGTTGAGAGAACAGCACGCTTCAGACAGCTCTCCGTGGAAGTCAATACTGATGGTGAAGTCCAGGTCTCTCTGGGGAACAATAAATAAACATCAATACACCGACGTCTACATCTCTACCTAGACACATTAAGTTGTATATTCCCTGTGTTGGTTCTGGGGGGGGGGGGGGGGGGGTTGTTGTAGGGACCCACTGCCCCTTAACAAGCACGTCAAAACTTATGCTACACTTGGCTAGCTTCTCTTCAGAGGTGAAATTTGACTAGCCTTTCCATGACCTGTGAAGCAGCTAAGACAACCACACCTCCCCATGGCGCATGCCTGAAAACTGAAGCCACAGGGTTTCAGGCTTATGGGGCACTAGCTCACCTGGAAAGGGAGTTGAGTAACTTGATTGCTGCTACTTCTTCTTCTGCCTTTCTATCCCCCAATGGAGCATAGGCCCTCAACCAACTCACGCCAAGTCGTTCTATCCTTCGCCATTACATGGAGCTCTCCTCATGTCCTCCCAATCTTTCTAACCTCATTCTCTAGCTCTCTTCTCCATGTGTTTTTTGGCCTTCCTTTATTCCTATGCCCCTGTGGGTTCCAATGCAAAGATATTCTAGTTATGCTGTTCTCCTGTTTTCTCAGTGTGTGCCCTATCCAACGCCAGCGTCTTTTCCTCACCTCCTGATCCACTGGAGCCTGTTTAGTTCTCTCCCAAAGTTCTACATTAGTTATTCTATCATACCATTTTATTCCCTCTATTCTGCGCAGGCACCAGTTAATAAATGTCTGTAATTTATTAGTAATTGCCTTGGTTGTTCTCCATGTTTCCGCCCCATACAATAGTACTGATTTGACATTAGAATTAAAAATTTTTAGTTTAGTATTTCTTTTAATTTCTTTTGACCTCCACAAATTCCCTGGTGCTATGAAAGCCCCTCTTGCCTTTTGTATTCTTATTTTAATATCTCTATCAGTTCCTCCATCTTTATCTACATTACTGCCTAAATAGGTGTACGAATCCACGTCTTGGAGTGGGGTGCCATTAAGAGAAACCACATTACTATTTGCCTGATTTATTCTCATTATCTTTGTCTTTCCTTTATGGATTTTCAGACCAAGCTGCTGTGATCTCGCATTAAGTATATTTAATTTATCTTGTATCTGATTCTGTGAATGGGACATAAGGGCAATATCATCAGCGAAGTCCAGATCATCAAGCTGTTTTGTAGGGGTCCACTGACTTCCATTCTTGGTGTTAGCAGTTACTGTTTTCATAGTCCAGTCAGTGATTGCTACTACACAAGAGGAAATGAACACATATATTGGCCATTATGGTCAGGTATCTTAATTTCCAAATCTATTAGTTCGTTAAGTAGCAGCCGGCTGAGTTCAATTCATTGGTTAAAATGATATTTTTTCCCTGCCCGTGGACAAACTTCAACCGTTTGTGGCATAGGGCTGGCAATGTGACCCTAAATCCTGAGGTTCAATCCTGACCTAAAATGAGATTCATACAGACAGTAATGACATACTCATTAACCCTCCTATTTTGTTTGATTTTCTGCATGAAAACAAGCAAGCATTTCACCATCCCCAGGACAGGCCTGTCAGTTGCATTTTTCAACTTGAGAGATTTTATTTACAGTCTAAGAATTCCAAGTTGGCACTGTTAGAATGGGAACTCTTTGTTGGCTACAAGGAGATTTGGGGGAAATGTCCCGCATGCACTGATGTCAGTTCTTGGTTTATGCATTCTTATCGTCTTTCTCTGTCTTTTTTTTTTTTACGTTAATCTTTCCGGTTATTATGCATTCCAGTTTTTCTCCTCAGCATGCCAACAAAACATTTCAGTGCCCTCTTTTTGATCAATGTGTCAAGAAACCAAGAAAATCTGGGAAACGCAAGCACTGGGAGCCAGTCTTATCATCCATTGAAATTAAAAGCATATCTGGCTTCCAATGTATACTGTTGGCACCCTGAATACCACAAGTATGTTTAAATGTGTGTATGGGTTCCATGCAAACACAGGCATGTATGTTAAAGAGCGTGTTACAAGGGTAATCTCACAAAAACAATACATGAAAAAACCAAAAGAACAGGGTCAGAAGAAAAGGGGTAAGGTAAAATGACTCACATTGTTCTGTTTGTTGGGGTTCATGGTAATGACCCCGTCGACTTCTTCTCCTTTCTTGACGGTCAGATCATTCTCTCCCAGGTAGAAGACTGTCTGTTTCCAGTGGGTGTACGGGGCATCAGGAGCTGCAGGCAACAGCAGCAACTTATATACACAAACATAATAACTGGTTTTTATATGTAAACACGCAGCAACTATTATTAGTAAGTTGCTGCCTTTATTGTCCCACTTTTGAGGTGTAGGCAGAGGGGTCTTTGAGCCTGAGGATTTACGGCCGCATGGCTAGTGCTGTGGCCACAACTGTGGAGGTGAGAGTTTATTATTTGCCCCTGACAGAAAAAATCCCCAGACTTACAGAGGATTCTAAGCTGGGTCGCTCGCAAAAGAGCCCAGCGTTCAAATGGTTCGGCCAGCCACTCCTCTATTATTTGTAACAGCTTATAAATATATATATATATATATATATATATATATATATATATACACATACATGCAACCACAATAACGACTGGCTATATCAACTAGTCCCCGGCTACTCTACTATGTTTACTCAGTGGACACATTTTAGTAAATTAGGAATTATCATGGGCTAGAAGCCTCAGCCAACGGATCAACATCATGGCAAACAACTCCAAGTTTGAGTCGGAAGAAGCTAAGCACAGCGCACAGAAAACTGAGGTTTGAACAACGGATCAACATCATGGCAAACAACTCCAAGTTTGAGTCCGAGGAAGCTAAGCACAGCGCAGCACAGAAAACTGAGGTTTGAACAACGGATCAACATCATGGCAAACAACTTCAAGTTTGAGTCCGAGGAAGCTAAGCACAGCGCACAGAAAACTGAGGTTTGAACAAGGGATCAACATCATGGCAAACAACTCCAAGTTTGAGTCCGAGGAAGCTAAGCACAGCGCACAGAAAACTGAGGTTTGAACAAGGGATCAACATCATGGCAAACAACTCCAAGTTTGAGTCCGAGGAAGCTAAGCACAGCGCACAGAAAACTGAGGTTTGAACAACGGATCAACATCATGGCAAACAACTCCAAGTTTGAGTCGGAAGAAGCTAAGCACAGCGCACAGAAAACTGAGGTTTGAACAACGGATCAACATTATGGCAAACAACTCTAGTCTAAGTCCGAAGAAGCTCAGAACAGTGCACGAGCTCTGTAGCACCGACAAGGATCCTGAAATACTTAGGGTTGACTGTTAACTCCAAATTTTGCCCGGGCTGCACCGTTAGGCTACTCTTGACCAACAATGCACACGGGCATCCGATCTCACTACCCAGAGACCAGAGGGAATTGCTAGAAGTCCAAGTCCCCTATGAAAAATCCCGAGCCCTTACCGGGGATCGAACCAGGCACCCCTAGCACTCAAAAACACCCTGCCCAAAGACCACACAGCCCCCCCCCCCCCCCCCCCCCATCCCTAAAGAAAACTAATTAATGTAATACAGTTAGTTGACAATCATCCACTTGCTGGGCAGGTTGCTACTTGACATATATATATATATATCACCATCATGGGCAATCGTGCCTCTCCACAATTTGAAATCTCCTGCAGCATGTACCAGTTCATGTGCTGAATCTTATTGTCTTCCTCTATCCCTCCGTCCAGAGATCTTTCTAGTGGTCACAACATGTTCCATTTTCCCTCTTCTTATAACTTACCTAAAAAAATGATGACTGCCGCCTTCTGATGTCTGTGATAAGTTTTTTCACCATATACCGAGGGAGATGCTAAAGGTGGGATTATGGATCTCTGCACCAATGGTGATCGGTCGATTAACTTACTATACAACTACCAATAACTAAAACAAGTGAATAAATTATTGAGTGGGACAGACCAAACTACAAAAATTAGACTTCTAAGAGCATGTATCATTTCCATTGCAACATACGCCTGTGAGACCTGGACACTTACTAAACAAGCTGAACAACGCATAAATGCCTTTGCTTATACAAATGTTACAGCACATTCTAAGAATTTCATGGGTAAAGAAAAAAACTATCCATACTTCAAGAACTGAATAGTGAAGAAGGTTGGCTATTAAAGACGATAAAACACAGAAAATTTAAATATTTGTGCCACTTGAAACATCAGGAAAGTTTAGATAGAACAAAAATAGGGGTGTATATGCCTGGGAAGAGATGAAGAGGGAGGCCAAAGAAAAGATAGGTGCAGGGCGTGGTGGATGATTTCCAGGTGGGTGTATCGGACGAGGAACATCTTGTGATCAAGATGTTGTAATGGTAGCAAGGTTATGCAAAGGACATGCTACTGACTGACAACTATATAGGTATACACACATACGTACATACAAACAAACCAAAGAGAAGAAGAAACTTCACATACACGTGGAGAACCCAGTACGCTTGTGACACTTGGTAAATTCCATGTTGAAGAAGGTGACCAGAGCATGCAGGTAGTCATTGCGTCGACACGTCAGGCGGAATGGAGCTGTGAAAGCTATGTCATCCTCCTTGACAGTGTAAATATCAACTTCCTGTGGATGACAAATATACCAATCAAAATCAGAGTTCGCAGAATGAAAGCAATCTTCTTTTCTTCCTCTTTGACCACTTTTGAGTGTCAGCAGTTGTCAAGGGTCTGGTTCATACATACAGATCGCTAGTATCTGATCGTCTTCGCACCTCTGACTTTCATTCTTGACATTTACATTTATCAAAAAGAGGACACTGACATGTTTTGTTGGCATGCTGGGGAGAAAAACGTTTTAAAAAAAAAGACAGAGAGAAAGACAATGAGAATGCATGAACCAAGAACTAACATTGGTGCCTTCGAGACATTCCCCTAAAACTCCTTGTAGCCAATGAAGAGTTCCCATTCCAACAGTGGCAGCTGGCAATTCGTAGACTGTAAATAAAATCTCTCACATTAAAAAGCTCAAAAGGTTTCTAAACCATTCGCTGCACTCTGTTTTAAGAAATATCCAGACTTCAGAATCCAAATCATCTGGCATGAGAAACCTTTAGACAACATGCAGATAAACTAGAAACATACAAGTGTTCAGTGATGTGTGTAGCTCTCACAGCAGAATCAGGGACCAGATGTCCGAGTCTATCCACTACAGCGCTGCATGTCCCAGGTATAACCTCAAAACTCAGTTCCAAATAAGAGTCCATTCACTCTGTACATCCAGAAATCAGTACAATAGCTGGATTTTGTCAACAGATGGTTCTACAAGGGTGACAGAGAAACTACATAGCACACCCACATGGCAACAGAGATATAATAAATAGCTGTGGAGAAACTTGCACCAATTTCAGAGCAGAATTTATTTTTTTAAAATGGTGCCATATTCACTCCATGCTTCGTCAAACAAGACAGCGCCATCTATAAAATAAAAAAAAATTAGAATGATGTCCACAAGAAGTGAACTAGTTTTTCAGGGGATACCAGCCCACTGAGGTATTCCTTGAAATAAAAAGGAAAAACAAGCTTTTGAGGATTGCTGTGAACCTGGAGCATCCCCCCCCCACCCCCTCAGATCTTTTAAGAAGCAAAGACACTCAGAAAGCAAGCAGTCTATTAAGACAAACTGGGCCAATGTAAATAAGATAAACATTTTATTCAAAGTGGGAGAGCGTCTCCTGAAAGACAAGGAACTAACAGTCTTCACACAAATAGGATTTGTCAAACAGATATGCAAACGCAAAAAGTCATGTAACAACAACAATTCCAGAAATGGACCACTAAGACAGTTTACAGATAGTAGGTTTGTAAAGGGTGACATGTCCAATCAAAGCTGACCCATGACCCAGAACTCATCATACAAGACCAGTTAGCCAGCTCCAACTTACCTTGACTAAAAAAGAATTGGTGACCACCTGTTTGGGGTCAACAACATCTACAAGAGGTTCTCTGATGGCCACGTCACGTATACAGCTCATGTCAAACCCATACACATTGTCCCACCCTGTCAACAAAACATATACCAGATAATAAAACTCACAAGAAGAACAGATAATTCATATCACAATTAATTAATGACATTACCATATATTGTTCTCTTCTACAAACAGATTTATACACACTATATTATAGCACAGTGTGCTTTTCTATATGTTTATATGTGTCAGTGTTTGTGGCTTAGGCATTTCTAATGCACTTCGTAATGTGGGGTGCGGGGTTGGATCCCAGCTGCAGTTCATTTGTCTTGCATTAGTTTAGACATTGTTAACGAGTCTGATCGTTCAAAAGGCAAAGGCAAACTACTGAACATAATATTTGCCTACAAAAACCCCAATAGCCATACAAATTCTTGTGTTGGTTCTGGAACATACTGTAAAGGATAAGCAACAAACTTCATACATGAGAATGATATACATCACTATATTCTGCGCTTTTTTTTACAGAATGAGACCTACCTGAGAAACATATTCTGTGCTCTTTTACAGACATTGATATACAAAACTAAATGCTGTGCTATTTTACAGATACAATGATATACATAACAACTATATTATGCGCTATTTTACAGACACACTGATATACACAACTATATTCTGTGCTCTTTTACAGATAAACATTGATATACAAAACATTATGTGCTTCACAGTTATAACAGAACTATATTCTGTGTTCTTATGCAGACGAGATAAATTTGAAAACAAATAATAAATAAACCGGAACAAAAATTAGTGTGATACAACAAACAGCAGACAAACTGGCATGATACACAACAGCAGACAAATTGTGTGATACGTGACAAACAGCAGACAAATTGGTGTAAGACACTATAAACAGCAGAACAAACTTGCTTACAGTTGATCTTCTCGTCCTTGTACTGCCTGTCCTCAATGGCTGTCACATAAAGAGTCGCCCGGTCAGGGAAAATCAGGCCACCAGGTTTCTGCAACATTCAGTTTTCATTAATCTAGATCAGTTGACTTTTCCATACAACAATCCAGCACTTCCTTCAACAATACTTGTTCAAGCAAAATCTGGGCTTTATAAGGTTTAGATTGGCGTTTACCTCGTGGGATTTGGTACTATTCAAGCCTTAGCCTAGCTGTTGAACTTACCAGAAACATAGATGTTTGGGAAGAAATTAAGCTGCTAAAAACTCAGCATAACCTTTGCGGTGAATAACTTAAAATTATCAAATGTTTCCTGTTCAGTTGATTAGTGAGACTGAACCTAATCTAATCAGAATCGGGACATATTACGTATATATAAACTGCATATCAACAATCCAATGGCAGATGGAAAAGGGAGGCTGTAAGACCATTACCCTAGGGGAAAACTGCCATAAAAATGCAATCACTAAGCAGAAGATGGACCACTAAAATATCAGAGAAACTGAAATGTACTTTATACAAAGTAAACAGAAACCCCAGAGGTCTCTTCCTGCACGGACCCTGTGAGGCATTCCAGGAACAGAGAAGGACTGAGCAGAGCCAGCTATCTTAAAATGACCGTTTCACCATGGTTACCCTTGGGGGAAAACGTGTATAGTCCAGGCATTTCATAACCTCTTCCCCGTGTGGGTACCGGTGCTCCACTGTGGGGAAAACAAAAACAGACCCACTGCCTGCCTAGTAAGCATGTCAAAAGACTCATTGGGGACTCCTTCAAAGTCAAGAGTGCACGTGCCAGAATGGAAATGAACCAACAGTCTGCATACAAATAAGCCACAAGTGTAAAACTGATGTATGTGCAACACTCAGGTTCTGGAATAAGACTAAAGTCCTGAGGCAGATGAACAAGCAGAACTTTTCACAGAAGGTTACAGCCAGTAAACGCCAATAAGGAGAAAAGCAACCTCTGAATAAATAAATATTCTATACTAGTCACTAAACAAATGTACAAACACTTTTCAAGTGGACGAAACAGACAAGAGGGAATCATTTTGAAACAAAGCCACTACATGACGTGAAAAATGCCAAATAACGGCAGTGAAAATATACAGATGCTAAAACTGCTTAGTCGACTAGTGTAGCTAAATTATAAGTTTTTGAAAATAGCAATATTCTTGGTCTGTGCAACAAAACTGGGGCATACCCCAAACAAAGCAGGTGTCTGCAGCTAAGATCTACCTACCAGCCACTTATCCCTGGCAAATATCACTGTGTTCAGCATGGACTCGTAGAACAAGCAGTAGCCCATCCACTCGGAGATGATGATGTCCACTTTCTCAATGTCTGGGGGCAGGCTGACCTCCTCCACTTTACCCCTCACTAATGAGATCACTACAGGATCACACAAGCAAAAGCATATAAATTAAATCTTTTATACAGAATCACACAACATCACCATATAAATTAAATCTTTTATACAGAATCACACAACATCACCATATCAATTAATTTTGCATACAGAATCAAACAACATCGCCATTTCAATTAATCTTACACGGTGAATCACATGACATTACTATATCAATTAATCTTACACGGTGAATCACATGACATTACTATATCAATTAATCTTACACAGTGAATCACATGACATTACTATATCAATTAATCTTACACAGTGAATCACATGACATTACTATATCAATTAATCTTACACAGTGAATCACATGACATTACTATATCAATTAATCTTACACAGTGAATCACATGACATTACTATATCAATTAATCTTACACAGTGAATCACATGACATTACTATATCAATTAATCTTACACAGTGAATCACATGACATTACTATATCAATTAATCTTACACGGTGAATCACATGACATTACTATATCAATTAATCTTACACGGTGAATCACATGACATTACTATATCAATTAATCTTACACAGTGAATCACATATATAGTAATGTTTGTGATACACTTCAATATCACCTAGTAATGTAAAAGTCTCACAAATTATTACACTCATCAATACTATCTGATAAATCACACAACATGACAACATCAACAAATCTTCCATTCAGAATAATTTCTTAGTTTTGATTCAAAGATGTTTCATTTAAAAAAAAAACAGCAATTGGAGCCATACAACGGATGGCTAAATCTGCCATCATAACACAACGTTGCTACCACTGAACTCTTCGGACATGAGAAGCAGAAACTTATTCCTTTCTGTCTGTGACACATCCTTGTCAACTCTGACTGATCAACATTTATGCAGTGTTTGTGTTCCAGAGAAGCCTGGTGAACACCACTGGCTGTTTGCATTTTAGGTCAGGATACAAACATGTTTACTAGTATTAGTGGTCAAGTGATATATTTGTAAGGTCGTGGGAATGTATTCTATTTAATGGTTCCCACCATCTGGGTTTACTGACTACCTCTTTATTTATTTCAACAACATAAACTGTTAATATTGACAAATAAAAACGTATACAATTTGTTAGTTCTCATGTTGTGTGGCGTTGATAGTCATGTCTACCCACAACCTTCTTATAGTCCATGTTGTGTGGTGTTGGTAGTAATGTCTACCCACAACAGCTGATCCTCCATTCAATGATGTCAAACTGTCCAGCATCTGTTCTCTCAGTCTCCCTCTGCCTCCCCTCCAACTTTCCTATTGTCACGATTTACTCGTTTTCTCCTTCTTATCACATTACCAAATGTTGTAGATTGTCTCTTTGTGATTTGGACAATCAGTTTTCTTCGTGAACCAGTTTATTTTAAAACACCTTCATAACATTTTTTATCTGTCTATTGTATTCTCATCATTCGTCTATAAAACCACATCCCCACAGCTTCCGAATAAGTTTTCACTGATTTACCAACTGTTCACAACTCACTTCTGTAGATCAAGATAGCATTTATATAACTTTTAAGAATTTTCTTTCTCGTCTCAACTGACAAAGAAAGAAAAATTACATTTATGAGTAAAATTGTAAAAGAGTTCACAACCTTTTTTCCCAAGCATTTCCAGAACGAGCGTGTGAAAGAAAACCACTAGTGGGGGTAATGTTAAGCACTGCTGCTAGTGGGGGTAATGTTGGGCACTGCTGCTAGTGGGGGTAATGTTAGGCACTGCTGCTAGTGGGGGTAATGTTAGGCACTGCTGCTGGTGGGGGTAATGTTAGGCACTACTGCCGGTGGGGGTAATGTTAGGCACTGCTGCTAGTGGGGGTAATGTTAGGCACTGCTGCTAGTGGGGGTAATGTTGGGCACTGCTGCTAGTGGGGGTAATGTTAGGCACTGCTGCTAGTGGGGGTAATGTTAGGTACTGCTGCTAGTGGGGGTAATGTTAGGTACTGCTGCTGGTGGGGGTAATGTTAGGCACTACTGCCGGTGGGGGTAATGTTAGGCACTGCTGCTAGTGGGGGTAATGTTAGGCACTGCTGCTAGTGGTGGTAATGTTAGGCACTGCTGCTAGTGGGGGTAATGTTAGGTACTGCTGCTAGTGGGGGTAATGTTAGGCACTGCTGCTGGTGGGGGTAATGTTAAGCACTGCTGCTGGTGGGGGTAATCTTAGGCACTGCTGCTAGTGGGGGTAATGTTAGGTACTCCTGCAGCTGCAAGTACTAGAGTTGTGCGACATAAATATTGGAGCTGGGTGAGTGTGTGGCATGTGCTGTGCACTCCAGGAAGACACTCCATTTTAACACACACAAAATAAATGTTAAACATGAAATTTTTACAACAAAAATTAAAGAACAGAGAGAGAAAACTACAACTAACACAGAGTATGCTACGAAAACAAGTCTAAAATACAACATCATTAGCAATAACAAGAACAATTTCGCTGGCCCACCTTTGTCAAGTTTGTTGGCACTGACGATCTTCTCTGCATAATCAATAATACTGGAACATTCAATCTGTGCAGTAAGACAAGAGTGAAAATTGACAAACACTGACAAATGTATGCAAGCTGAAACAATAAACTGGAATGACAAACAAGCCCACTTTCAAAATTAGGTCATCTCTACAATATAAATATATGTGTGTGTGTGAACAAATAAATACCTGTTTTCTCCACACCTCACAACTGCCATTAACTTTATTACTACTAATATAATCCAACATACAGAAAACCATACAATCAGACATGTTTATAAACATAAAAACCACACATACTATATAAAAATTAATTCACAAAAATATACCTCTATATCTACAGTACCACTCAGGACAAGCTAAAAACCACACAAATGTACACACAACAATGAAAATACACTAATTTACACATATCTATAACCCTAGAACCTCACAACACACACAAACCAATAACCATAAAAATTTATACAAACTATTAACATTGAAACCTAACAAACGTATAACAACCAATAACAATAAAACCACACAAACCAATAACCACAAAATGACATAAACGTAGAAACCGCTATTTTTTCATAAAACTACATGAACATATATTTTTAGTGATAAAACCACAAAAATGTACATTTATAACCATAAAATCCCACAAAGGTACACACCCTCACAACTATAAGAAATCACATACCCCTATAACCCTTGGCATCAAACAACTACACAAATGAGACAATATGAAATCACATACCCCTATAACCCTTGGCATCAAACAACTACACAAATGAGACAATATGAAATCACATACCCCTATAACCCTTGGCATCAAACAACTACACAAATGAGACGATATGAAATCACATACCCCTATAACCCTTGGCATCTAACAACTACACAAATGAGACAATATGAAATCACATACCCCTATAACCCTTGGCATCAAACAACTACACAAATGAGACAATATGAAATCACATACCCCTATAACCCTTGGCATCAAACAACTACACAAATGAGACAATATGAAATCACATACCCCTATAACCCTTGGCATCAAACAACTACACAAATGAGACAATATGAAATCACATACCCCTATAACCCTTGGCATCAAACAACTACACAAATGAGACAATATGAAATCACATACCCCTATAACCCTTGGCATCAAACAACTACACAAATAAGACAATACCAAATCCCATACCCCTATAACCCTTGGCATCAAACAACTACACAAATGAGATGATATGAAATCACATACCCCTATAACCCTTGGCATCAAACAACTACACAAATGAGACAATATGAAATCACATACCCCTATAACCCTTGGCATCAAACAACTACACAAATGAGACAATATGAAATCACATACCCCTATAACCCTTGGCATCAAACAACTACACAAATGAGACAATATGAAATCACATACCCCTATAACCCTGGAGGCTCCAGCTTTGGCAGCAAACATACAGAGAATCCCGGTGCCACAGCCGACGTCCAGCACAACCTTGTCCTTAAACAGATGCTTGTTGTAGTACATGGCATTTCTGTATGTCAGTGTACGCACTTCATCCTTCAGCATCTCCTGAAGAACATGCATGTATATATACAAATGTAAATATAATGCTTGTGAAAAGTGGAGCAATCAACGCTCCCTTGTATCCTGCCCATTCTTTCTTTCTAATAGATGTTCCTCTAATATATTTTTTTAAAGTGGAGCAATCAACCCTCCCTTGTATCCTGCCCATTCTTTCTTTCTAATAGATGTTCCTCTAATATATTTTTTTGTCTCTGTGTCAGTGTGTGTCTATGAGTGTGTTTACCTGTGCACATGTTTAGTGTATGTGTGTTGTGTGTGAATATAATTTCTATGCTTGTGTCAACGTGTGTAACGTCTGTGAATGCTGTGCATGTTTTGAGTCCACCTGTACATATTGTGTACGTGTATTATGTATGTCTCTCTGGGAGAGTCAGAATGCCTGTATATGTAGTATCTATGTGTGTGTTGTGTATGTGTACTTGCTGTGACTAGTTTTTTTTCTGTATACATATGTTGGGCCTGTGTGTATGTGTTCTGTCTGTGATTGTGTATGCCCGTTTATGTTGTGGATGTATGTGTGCAACGTATATTTGAAGGTAAGCATTTATCATGCATGCTTTTGTATTTTTACTTTACAATCATACTAAGAATTTTCATATATGAAAAGAATTTAAATGATATATGAAATACTTTTGCTGTATGAAAGATGAATGCTTGGAAGGAACCAATGAAAGATGCTTGCATTTCTAATTTGCAATCCTTTGGAAATACAGTTCATTAGCTCTGTTCCCTTAGAATTTTCTGTTGTCACAACATACTTCAGTTTTTCAACTGTCACAAAGTGCTTCGATCAATTTCCTTTCCACGGTCTGCGAATAGAATGTGGAAGACAAACTAGCCGCATTTTCCGTGTGGGTTCCTGTGTCCCATTTTTAAGCTAGAAAAAATGAAAAATGTGTTGCTCCCAAAAAAAAGCATGTTATAAAAGGCAACAAGTTAGAGGGTGCTGAAATCAGATGTTTCAGGTTTCAAAATGCAGACAGTTATAAGATTATCCTCGCATAGAATCATATGTGCTTGAATCCCCTCTCTAGTCAATCCCGCAGCCGATGACACCAGTTCTATGTTGGTTTCTAAATCTTCTTTGGCTTCCTGCGTTGTGCTTTTGTCTGGCCACACACCTTTTACCATGTTCTGCAGTCTGGTCATAGTTGCAGATTCAGTCCCAAAAAATTAAATGCAGATGATATATCCTAGCTGTATATCACAAAATTATAATGTGCCAGCACAGAGAAATAAGAACCTACCTCATGAATGCCGAAATGTGCATATGAATCAAAGTAGTAATCCTTTGATGTCATCTCATCTACTGCCACTGCATGGCCATTGCTGCCGGCATCCACGACAGGGCCATCAACCTCCACCTTGGCATTGGCGTTGACATCACCGCTGCTACTTTCCACCGACTGTCGAGCAGAAATCAACACAACTTCACAATTTACAAAAAACCTGTCTCAAATTTGTTCTGAATACGGTGTGAGCGTAGTTTGAGAAGTTCCGTTCTGCCCAAACAACGGTGTCATCGTTAATCGTGTATCTCTTACATTTTGCTTTGCATGCGCGTTCGTACTAGTTTCTAATGTTTGGAGGTACGAAAAACCTATTCAGGGAAAGACACTCTGCCGAAATCCTTTTAGTTTCGGTTCTTGGACTAAACCACACGTGGATAATTTGTGAGAAAAAAACATCAAAATTTTTTTAACAGTTTATTTTCTAAGTTCGTTTTTGAGTGCACTGAATACCAATGTTCTAACCACAAGAACAGGTCGCAGAATGCGTCTTTCTGTGGCCGTAGCTCTGAAATTGTTTCAGTCAGATGTTTTTAATTGTGATAATGATAATAAAAATTTAGATTTTTCGGAAAGTGATTCGGACAGTGAATTTTCACCAGTGAAGCTGAGCGATCAGCTGTTCGGAATCTAGCGATTCTGATGAGTTTATTACACAGACAATGTCCCATACTACCGTATTTATGGTGTAAGACAAGGAAAGTACTCTAAACAAAGAGATAGTACTATACTATGGCTAATCTACATTGAAATCATCGCAGCTACAGTCTGTAAATAACTGTACAAAGTGAATAGTAAATAGTGTGTGTGCTATGGCTCATTTTTCTGCCATTTTTTTCTCTGAAATTTTGCTTAGCACTCGGTGGGAACTAAGAGCCCCTGAGTGATAAACTAACCAAGAAAGTTATCATAACTTTAGAATATGTTAGGAAATTGAACAAACTTTGAAGTTTTGTTCTCAAATTTGGATATTTACTATTCTTGTGGCTGCAAAACCATGGTAAGTGAAGAATTTTTTTGTGAAATATTGTCCTTGTGAAATTAACACCTGCTGAATTCTTCTTTTCCACTGACTATAACAAAATTAAACAAACACTTATCATCAGATTCAGAATGTACACTCATTTCTCGTTTAAAAAATATATACTGTTATAGGGATTAGAAGTATATTACAATATCTACAGCCTTTCTTGTACACCCACCCCTCTGCCATTTTTGTAAAGGGAAATTAATGTGGGCCAAGTCTTGTCAAAATTCATGGGCCTGAAAGAGTTAAGTTAACGTCCATGGATGAATTGACGACGGACGCAGGTAAAACGGATACTACTAGGATCGGTCTCTCTAAGTGAGTACAAAAATTATGATCAATTATTTCTTTCAATATCAATGAAAATATCAGACCACACGATTGATTTATAAATCATTTTGTAGTGTATTGATTCTCATCTATAGTATTTACAAGTAGTAAGATAAGTAAGAGTTACCAGATTACCAGATAAGTAAGAGTAGAGTCAGAGGGCCGTCCATATCTCCATGCTGATTGAATTGATTTGATTTCATTGTGTCGTGTCTGATTCCTACTTTGGTAATTAAATGACTGCAACCGAAGTAAGAACATGTCAGAGCCTACAGCTAAAACATAGTAATTTATTGAAACAGTGACGATTTTTTGGGGGGGGGGGGACAGAACGGATTTTCTTTTGTCATATAAAGACTAAGTTTGTTGTAAATCGCTCTTCCAGTCTTACCTCAACTTGGTCAGCCATGTTGTATCTGAACAAAGAGCACAATTTACCGACCGTAGCCACAGGAAACCGAAAACTGCCGGAAGTCAATGTTTCGACATGAATCTCGCCAGATTTTATCATTTTCAATAATTTTAAGTTATTGTCAATTGTAACCTCCACACCCTTCCCCCTTCCTTTTCAGGATCACTTTTTATAAATTAACAGCCTACTCAAAGCAATGTTTCCCCGTTGTGAACTTGAACAAAGAAGACACAAACAATAGACTGCACAATTTATTGCCTGGCATATTTTGCTGTATCTCGTCAGGTACATACTAGAGAAACAATTGATTAAAATAAAGCAAATAGGTGAATCCTAGAAACTGAAACACAAATTCGACTAAATTCATGAACTGTCTGTTTCACCAAGGTAACGACTATTTCTTTTTGCCTGCAAAGTTCTGGTTTCAACCGGCTGATTGCTCACGCTTCCACATATTGGAATAATCTACGGTTGGCCGAATTGTACATAATTCGAAATGCATCATCCTTATTAACAATGTGCCCAGAATTTAGAATATGGCATGCAATTGCTGATGATGGATTTTGTTGACCAGTCTCGTTGTTTTTGAGGTGTTAGTGTTCTGCATTGCTTTAATCACCCATAGTGACCCATATATGTTCAGCAACCCGTTTCTCCAGTCGTCAATCAGTTCTGCCCACATATGCAGCATTACAGGTGCATTTAAATTGTTAAATACAATTAGATCTGGTTACGTCGACACTGGTTCTTTTACTGGTGGCGTAGGAATCATGGTGGTTTTAAATCTCATAACAAGTATGGCTGCGTAAAAAGTTTGACAGACTGCTGTTCTGAGTCAATCATATACACATTACATGCTGAAAGTCAGATGTGTATAAACTTATCTATTGTGAATTAAAGACATTTAGAAGATATCAAAGAAGAGGAGAAATACTGACATCGTGAAAGATCTGAACATCAAGGAAGACTGGCTGATAAACAGCATCCTGTCTTGGAAGCTGAAATATTTTGGTCATATCAAGCACCACGACGGATTGGAACAAAATTATTGCAGAAGGCATGGTACCAGGAAGGAGGGCAGGGGCCAACCGACACAAAGATGGGCACAGGATATTAGTGACTCCTTGAGTATGAAAGTACATGAGGCGGGAGAACTGGCGAGAAACTGAGTTTCTTTCAGGCAAACTGTGATGAGAGACAGGATGCTGTTTATTTGCCAATCTTCCTTGATGTTAAGATCTTTCAAGATGTCAGTATTTCTTCTCTTCTTTGTCCTAGATACTCTGAGAATCTTTTAATAGCATTTCAGCTCAAAAGCCCCTATTCTCTTTCTTAAGGACTGAGAGATAGTCCATGACTCACATCCGTATGTAGCCACAGGGAAGATGCATGCTCTGAAAATTATAATTTTGATCTCCTTGCTGGTGCTAAACCATAGACTTTTAAGGCTGCCTTGAAGTTAGAAGTGGGATTAACTGATTAACTAGTTTTGTTGGATGTGCTTGGAGCAGTTTGTGTTTGTCATCAAGATCAAGAGGTAATAAACTATCTGGATCTCCATATTCTTTTAGTCCATACGGTGTGGCGTTGTTAGTCATGTCCATCCATAATCTCCTGTCTCGACCACTTGCAGATGATCTTCAATGCCAGCATGATAAACAGTCCAGCATCTTCTCCATGTGTCTCGCTCTGCCTCTCTTCCCCTCTAACTTTCCCACTGTCGTGATGTACTCCAGTTTTCTCCTTCTCATGACATGAACAAAATATGGAAATTGTTTCTTGTAAAACTGGCTCATCATTCACTATCTCACGACAGCAGGACATAAACAGATGACAACAGGACAGTTATTTTATATCAAAACCCACATTTTACAGGCTTAGCTTATTTGTATGCAGACTCGGTTGCTTGCCTCTCATCACCCAGCAACATTAAAACCTCCATGTTACAAACCTGACTGATTTGTATACAGACTGTCAGTTCCTTGCCTCTCATGTAAATGCACTTTGACTCTAAAGGAAAAATACCTAATTAGTCGTCTCCTACAACCTGTTTGTTGGGGGGTGGGGAGGGGGGGGGATGGGTCTATTCTTTGTTCTCCAGAATGAAGCCATGAAACCCACATACGGAAGCAGAGAAAATGATAACATGAAGTTGGTCAGCAAGACAGCAGTAACGGTCAGGGAGACAGCAGTAATGGTCAGTGAGACAGAAATAACACTAATTGTTAGTGACATCACAGCCTGTTTAATTTTAGCTCAAAAACACACACAATTCTGTACATAGAATCAGATAAAAATAATGTCTGCACAGTGGATGAGGAAAAACTATTGGTTCCCATCATAGTATCTTTTCTTGAGAGTTCTGTATTTTCTGAGCATGTATAGAGCCTCTAGTTCCTTGACGATGTACTGCCCTTTGGCGATGAGCATCTCAATTTCCTTTTCATCAGTTATGTCTTTGTTTTTCATGAAAGCTTGATGAAGACGAGATCGAAAGTACTCTGCACCTTTTGGATAATCTCGTCCAAGGTGTAGCAGCTGAAATTGTGAAAACTTTAATCAATTACCTATGAATAAATGTATTATCAGTACATAATGCCTAGTAGATTCAAATTCGCTTCAAAACAGAAATCTTTGTTAATGATCTTTTCTCCTAGGTCGACTAAGCCTAAAACATCTACATTAAAGAGAAGCTATGTAGGGACCAGTGGCAACGTTAGATGCATAATGCTATCTGTGACCCAGACAGTACTAAATGTTTATCATGGCTGATGTCGAACACAGAAGAAGAAGAAGGTTAGTTGCGTATCTTTTACAGGATGTAGCAGAACCAACCCCAACAGCCCCTGGGATTTCCATAAAAACTGTACTTGTAACAGGAAGGGCTCAGCTGTGAAACAAACACATGACCTTCAGAGAGTGAGGCAAATGGCTTGACAACTTCGCCATGGAGACCACCCAGTACTGTAAATAAATATGAAGAAACTGATAGATATTAGAACACAAATATAACATTTTAGAGGAGTTTCCATAGCACTAGTACATCTGTGAAAGTCAAAGAAAATAAAACCTAATTCTAAACTTAATTTTTATGTGTTGGCTCTAATGTCACATCAGTTCTGTTGTATGGGGCAGAAACATGGAGAACAACTTAAACAATTACAAATCTATTACAAACATTCATTAACTGGTGCCTGCACAAAACACAGTCAATTAACTGGTAGGATATAATCATTAATTGTGAGCTTTGAAAAAGAACTAAACAAGTTCCAGTGGACCAAGAGGTGAAGAAAAGGTGTTGGTGTGGGATAGGACACCTGATGATGATTCATGTGTGAGTCGAATAATGTTTCGTGTGTGAAGAGAACTGTGGCACATGTGTGAAAAAAACAGTGGTTCATGTGTGAGGAGAACAGTGGTTTATGTGTGAAAAGAACAGTAGTTTATGTGTGAGGAGAAGAGTGATTTATGTGTGAGGAGAACAGTGGTTCATGTGTGAGGAGAACAGTGGTTCATGTGTGAGGAGAACAGTGGTTCATGTGTCAGTAGAACAGTGGTTCATGTGTGAGGATAACAGTGGTTTATGTGTGAGGAGAACAGTGGTTCATGTGTGAGGAGAACAATGGTTCATGTTTGAGGAGAAAAGTGGTTCATGTGTCAGTAGAAAAGTGGTTCATGTGTCAGTAGAACAGTGGTTCATGTGTGAGGAGAATAGTGGTTCATGTGTGAGGAGAACAGTGGTTCATGTGTGAGGAGAATAGTGGTTCATGTGTGAGGAGAACAGTGGTTCATGTGTGAAAAGAACAGTGGTTCATGTGTGAGGAGAACAGTGGTTCATGTGTGAGAACAGTGGTTCATGTGTGAGGATAACAGTGGTTCATGTGTCAGTAGAACAGTGGTTCATGTGTGAGGAGAATAGTAGTTCATGTGTGAGAAGAATAGTGGTTCATGTGTGAGGAGAACAGTGGTTCATGTGTGAGGAGAATAGTGGTTCATGTGTGAGGAAAATAGTGGTTCATGTGTGAAAAGAACAGTGGTTCATGTGTGAGGAGAACAGTGGTTCATGTGTGAGGAGAACAGTGGTTCATGTGTGAGGAGAACAGTGGTTTATGTGTGAGGAGAACAGTGGTTCATGTGAGAGGAGAACAGTGGTTCATGTAGGAGGAGAACAGTGGTTCATGTGTGAGGAAAATAATCAATCAGGTGTGTGAGAAGAGTAATGAATTATGTGTGAGGAGAGTAATCAATTATGGGTAAGGAGAGTAATCAATTATGGGTGAGAAGAGTAATAAATTATGTGTGAGGAGAGTAATCAATTATGGGTTAGAAGAGCAATCAATTATGGGTGAGGAGAGTAATCAATTATAGGTGAGGAGAGTAATCAATTATGGGTGATGAGAGTAATCAATTATGTGTGTGAGGAGAGTAATCAATTATGTGTGAGGAGAGTAATCAATTATGTGTGAGGAGAGTAATCAATTATGGGTGAGGAGAGTAATCAATCATGTTTGTGGACAACAATTGGTCTCATGACGGGGGAAACTATGGAACCACCGTACCACTGGAGCGGGAATAACAGACTGACAACCAAATGATGGTCAGTGATTTGATAGAGGGACTGAAACATCCAATGTCACTCATCTCTAGATTGTGAGAAGTTACTGATACAAATATCTCACCGTTCTATATAATTGCTTGACTTTAAACCTCAATGCCTGGTTGGACATTTTTATACTGTGGCTGGTTTTGTTTGTTTAGCTGAAGTATTGGTTACATCTGGACATCATCAGGGGCATTTATCTGGCCAGTATCTGAAGGAAAAGACATTTTAAATTTAGAACCAATTAAGTGCACATTTTTTGGGGGACATCACCAATGGCATTTATCTGGCCAGTATCTTAATTTTTCTTCTGTGTTTGCCCTTAAAAGGGTGGTAGGCACACTGTGGTGTGGTTTGCAGCAAGGCTGTCTTCCTCTTCTTCTTCAAGTTCACCAGCTGTAAACTCTGGCGGAAAGTTCTGGTTGTTCATCCACTTTTTGACTGCAGTCCTGTTACAGAAACTCAGTGTTGCGTGTGCATCTGTTTCACAGATCGGACTCATTTGTATGCAGACTGCTGGTTTCTTGCCTCTCAGTCAAATGCACTCCAACTTCAAAAGAAGCTCCTAATTAGAATACTCTTATGAGATGTTTTTGTGTAGCCAGCGGGTCTATTCTTGTTCTCCCTATAACAGGGCCCTGGAACCCATACTGGGAACAGCAAGGCTGTGATTCTGCACCTCTCTGCCCATGAAAACCGATTACAACAAAGACTATCTTAAAGTTGACTAATAGATTTAAGAAAACTCCCCTAATTAGTCATCTTATATGACATGCTTTCTAGTGCATCCATTTTAACCCAACCCCCCTCCCCTTCCCGGCCACCCCAAATGGGGCCTAGAACTAACACGTGGAGAGGACTGTTGCTATAAAAGTATTTTGATACATCTCCAAAAATTTCAATTTCAATATTATCCCATTTTTGCCAGGACAGTATCATTTAGTAGGTTGGTCCAGACCATAGCGTCAATACAAAAAAAAAAAACGTTAATTTGGACAAATTGTGTGTGTGTGCATGCATGTGTGTGTCAGAGTGAAGACTACCCAAAAACAGTACTGTCCCAGTGAAAACAGTATGATATTTTCACTCAAAATATTGCAAGTTTATTTTTACTTCTTCTTCTTCTTTGTTTTCACCGACTGTAAACTGGTGGAAAGTTCTGGTTGTTTGTCCACTTCTGGACTGCAGTCCTGTTCCAGAACCTGAGTGTTGCACGTACATCGATTTGACAGATCTGACACATTTGTGTGCAGACAGTTGTTCCTTGCCTCTCAGGCAGATGCACTCCGACTTCGAATGAAGATCCCAATTAGTCGACTCTACAACATGCTTTTAAGTAGGCAGTGGATCTATTCTTGTTTTCCCCATATAGGGCCCCGGAACGCACACGAAGGTTATTCAGCACGTTAATATTATGGTCATAAACTAGAATCTATCTCCCTGGGACCCACCTTTTTGCCGAAAATATGTACGATGTCGACACGGTTAAATAAGATTATCCTGCGATTACAATAATTATTATAGTATTAGTACTACTATTACTAACTATTACATTAGAAGTAAAGGTGAGTTGCGAATTGAAAACTTGGCTCTCCTTTGAATCTTTTCCCAAAATGGCGGCTTTAATATGATGGCGTTTGAAAGAGAGCTAAATTGGCCAATTTCTGGCGATAAAATATCCAGAAATATCCGAATGCAGGTCAGTTCTATTAAAAATATATGTGCCGGCTCCAGATAACGAAACTGCAAGTGTGCCTCACAGCGATTAAACTCATCGCCGAGCGTATCCCCCGCGCCGCTACGCGGATGGGGGCTAAACTAGATGGCTGGGACTCACGAGCGACAGCTACCGCATCTCCTGCAACTTCCTCCAATTACTGTACTCGTGAGTCCTAGGCACCTAGTTTAGCCCCCATACACGTAGCGGCGCGGGGGATACGCTCGGCGATGAGTTTAATCGCGTTTGGCGCATGCCGACAAGTCTGACATCTACCGCTGCTAAATTCTCCAATCGGAAGAACACAGTATTGCTAATGGGCTTTCATCGTCTGTAATGTCTCGAAATTGGTCAACGGTCGCTAATATCGTCTGCAGAAATGCTCGAAATTGTCAACGGTCGGTATTTATCGTCTGCTACTAGTGTGCAAATGTTGATATTGATTATCAAGTAACCCTAGTTTTGCCGCGATTTGTTCCTTAGCAGAAAGTCCGTATTTTAGATATACGCGAACACCGTCGTTCGGATATTTTAAATTGTTATGGCCAGAATGTGGCATGCCGCCATTTTGGGGAATGATTCAAAGGAGCGCCGAAAACTTGTACTATTTAAATTTTAATTTTATCATAAATTATATTACTCATGATTCTTAAAATGGCAAACAGTAGTTATGTTTAAATATCTTTACTGGACAAACCTTATCCCCGGTTATTCAGACTTTCTACGAAAAGAAAAGGGGAAAAAGACGCAAGTACAACATCAATAGAAAAACAACAACAAAACAATCAGACTTTGGACGAACGACAACAATTAGTTGATGTCTGCTTCACCCTCTCTAGAGTGGCTGCCCTTGTGCTGCAGTAACCACAACCAGGGTTGCCAGATGAAAAACTTCATTTTATGCCAAACCATTACCCAAAAAATGCTAGAAAATGCCAGATAAAGTGTAACATTGAACTTGCTTCACATCAAAAGCTAAAGATTGAATTCTTCACTGTCATCCTCACTGGAACAAGTGGAAGACACTGCGTAAACCTTTTCGGATGTAAAATCTTTAAGCATTTTCTCAGATGGGATGACATCTTTACAACTCATCCATAATGATGGCATATTTCTTGTTCCGAAAATCACCAATAAGGTCATCCTTAAGTGCAGGCGATATAAAATGTTTTATTAGGCATGAACATTTAGCTATATGCAACTGTATGTGCTCCAATGTACTCCCCCGACCATGCGCTCTTATGATTTCACTTAGATGATCAATTGTGCGTTTTGCACAATGGCAGGTCATGCCTACAGCAAGTTGCAACTTTGCAGCCTTTAACTGTATCATTACTTTGCCTAGGAGTCTTTGTTGTAATAAGCTGTGACTGGCTTTTTGACAGTTTTTATATCCTGTGTTCATCGGATTTTTCATGATTTGATATGCTACTAATTCTTAGTGCAACAGTGCACTGACACAGTTTACAATAGACTGCCTCTGATCCGTCTGAAGCTCTTTTGAGCCGTGGGTATGTTTTCCTCTAATTACTATTATACTTGTGATGTCTTAAGATGCTTTCCATTTTTTTAATGAAGTGGCCATTGGTAAAAGTATTCAAATCTATCACAGATAGAACTAGGTCTATATCCTCTCTGTTCTCTGTCCTCAAGTAGTTTCTGAACAGTCTGAATCACTTGGTATCAGTGGTGGGTTTTGGTTTTATATCCCGCATTTATTCTAGTAGATTAACATACATGACAGAGGGCCTGGGTTTATTGAAGTCATGATCCGTTTGGGAGACAACAAATACAATAAGAAATGGCACGAATCTCCGTTAGTCCGTACTAGGACATCACAACAAAGTCAAACTGAAATAAAGATGTTAAATGTAGATCTAAATTGCTTTTAGCATATATGCGTCTTTCTAACGGGGAAACCATGCAGCAAATGTGAGCACATCTTGATAAGAAAAGCCAGGAAAAACCCAAATATGCCAAAATATGCCAGTTCATTATCTTATGCCAGTTCAATTTCAAATATGCCAAATTTGTGGAGTCTGGCATAAAAAATGCCAATATGGCAACCCTGACCACAACTCCAACAGGAACTCTCCACAACTGTAAAGTTGAGTCAAGAATTGACATCACAGCACTAGAGGCATTCCCATGCATGCTCCGTCCTCATCTTCAGCAGCAAGTGCAGAGTTCCAATACTGATGGTACTGGTTTCTCCATATCTGAGACTGTCACTAGGAGTGAATGATCACTAGGAGTGAATGATTTAACTATGCTATAACATATGACACTGACATCTTGAAAGATCTGAACATCAAGAAAGGTTGGCTAATAAACAGCATCCTGTCTCGGAAGCTGAAATATTTTGGTCATATCAAGTGGATTGGAAAAAATTATAGCAGAAGGCATGGTACCAGGACGGAGGGGCAGGCGCCGACCGACACGAAGATGGGCACAGGATATAAGTGACTCCTTGAGTGTGAAAGTACACGAGGCGGGAGAGCTGGTGAGAGACTGAGTTTCTTTCAGGCAGATTTTGATGAGAACGATATAATCAAAGGACCTGCTACATGATGATGATAACATATGACATCGGTCTTGTTATATAACTTAAGACAAAATAGTGGTATCCCAATGTTGTTGTTTTTTAGACAAGAAAAATTGCTGGCACTTATCAAAAAGTGTCTCAAGAGGTGATGTTACTCACCTCAAATGTCCTACAGTAAAAGACCTTTCTCCACACCTTTAGGCACATTAGGCACATAGACCTATACCTATATTTTATGTGGTCAACATCGTGCCAGGCAACCGCCTTTAGTTCTAATGACGTTGTACGGCATAAGCAGTAGGACAAAAGCAGAAGAAAAAGAAGAAGAAGAAGAAGAAGAAGAAGAAGAAGAAGAAGAAGAAGAAGAAGAAGAAGAAGAAGAAGAAGAAGAAGAAGAAGAAGAAGAAGAAGAAGAAGACGTAGTTGTAGTAGAAGAAGAAGATCGACAAACATACATAACCATTTCTGAGATGAAGTTGTGTATACACAGCCCTGACCTTGTAATTCAAAAACGTTTACAGTGACAAGGAATTAACAGTCTAAAGGGAGCCGCTGAGAGACGGGCGTGCAGAAGAATAATTTCACACGAAAAGAAACATAAAATATAGAGTCATTTTAAGAAATAAAATTAAGAGCAACAAAAAGAATTTTATGACAACATTAAAAGACAGAACCCTTTTAAAAAACATTCGGGGTGGCAAACGTGAAGTCAAGCAGCAAGAGACAAACGGCGATATAAATTGTGTATGTGGGGGAGTGGGAGGGGGGGGGGAGGAACTCACATAATTGCTGAAAACCTAGGTTGTTCGCCCACTTTTAGACTTCGATCTTGTTTCAAAACTTGAGGTTTACAGATCTGGATTAT